TAAGGACTCTTCAAATGGCACCCATCTAGTCTTATTACAAGTTTGCATCCAGCCTTCAATCCCTCCTTACAGGCACCCAAGCAAATGTACATTCTTTGGAACACATGCCTCTGTAACAATGCATTGAAATCACATTTGATTTGCACTATTGTTCCAGGATTTGTGTTCCTCAATTCTGTACCATAGTCCCAGAGTCTAGCATATTGTGCAGTAATGGTACCTTCTAGGATTTTCAAAGCTTTATTCTTTGCCCTTCTAGCCTTTGACAATGATATTCCACTGTTAATATTCCTCTGCATTGTTGCCTTCCAGGACACCACTGGTACAATGGGGTTTGTCTTCACCTCCTCCACAATTGTTTGAGCCAACCATGAAGATTTTATCCCTTTGTTTTCCCATACCTTGCTACATGTGTATTTGGGATTTAGTCTCTTCACTTAGAATGTGTCTTCATGTTGCATCTTGGATGCATAAATCTCAAAAATACAGTTCCGAGCTGCAAAAATTGCCCCAATCCTATACTTCTCAGACTTCATCCAACATATTTCCTATCCTTCTTTGATTGAAATGGCCTTCAGAGCCTGTCTGAAGCTAGAACTATCTGCAAACTGCATGCCAACTTCAAACTCGACAGTTCCCATGTCATAATAAGGATTAAACTCTGGGAATCTTTGACCAGTGCTCTCCTCATCTGATTGTGGTGCTCTCCTAAAGTGCTGCTCATCATCAGTGTCTGCAAACATGACTTCATTATCCACAAAGTCTTCCGCAATTGAAGGTTTTGGTACTTATTACTCAGCATTTGCTCCACCCCACTTACCATCTATGTCAACCTCATGTAAGAAGGCTTCATCATCATCATCATCCTCATCAATACCATCTTCATTATCCACAAAGTCAGGGTCACTCTCATCATCAGTTTATGAAGAATCTTCAGCATCACAACTTCTTGTTGAATTGAAGGGTTCCTTTTCCTAACAGATCTTCTTACTTCATTGATCTCAGCATCTACAAACCCTTCATCAACTTCTGCCACCTTTTCTTTGCCTTTGGAAGTAGCTTTGGTGGTATTTGGTTGTACACTGAACCATTCATCAACTTCTGCCACATTTTCTTTCCCTTTGGAAGTAGCTCTCTTTGTCTCATGTTGTACATTGCCTTCATCAATTGCTGCCACCTTTTTGTTGCCTTTGGCAGTAGCTGAATTCATTGATAGAGTTGGTTTCCTAGTCTTGTGTACCTCATTGGATGTAGCTTTATCCAACTTATCATGTTCAACAATTGCTTTATCAAACTCTGGTAGCTCTTGAAGGATAACACATGGACTTCTCACATCATCAGCATAATGATATAATTGTGAAGAATAATGGCAATACACATTAGAATCATTCTGGCTATTCATAACATCATCAAGGTTGTCTCAATGATCCATGTACATGTGAATCATCCTGACCTCAGGCACATTTTCACACATTTGAATAACTTCTAAGTCAAACTCCACCATCTTCAAATCACCCTTATCTTCAACCCTATACCAGTAATCAATCCTACCAATGTGCCCCAAATACACAGTCATGCAGTCTATGTCAGTTAAAGACATCTTGTCTTTATCCACATAATCAAAGTATGTAATAGTTCCATCCACATAGTACTTGTGTATTAGTCTTCCATCATGGTGCATTCAAATGCTAAATAAGCAATCATCGTCTGCATACATAGATGATCCAACATTAGGCTATTGTTACACATTGCATGGATTTATAGACGTACACAGAAATCACCTACTAAACAATTACCACATAGAAAAATCAAAGCAAACACTTTTAGAATGCACTTTACTATACCACCGGGGATGAATTATTAAACATAGTAAAGTCACTTTCCACACCAAAAACCAAACATCACATGGGTTACAATAGGACCACAGACCAACTTTCCTTACATAAAGGCCACTGACAACAACCAGAAAACTCCAAATATGCGAATTCGGAAACCCTTATCCCCACAACTTTGAACTCAGAAGCCTAACTCAAAAAAAACCCCATATTAAAACCCTGTTCCCTAAATATGCGAACTTTGAAACCATTTCCCCAAAAAATCAAACTCAGAATCCTAAACCCCCAAATAAATCAATATTAAAACCCTAATGTGAACTTCGAAACCTTTATCTAGAAAAAAAAAATTCAAATAAAACCTCTATCCCCACATACCGTAAACTCGGTCATCCTCTCCAGGTGGTCATGGATCCCAACTCATCATAGCCTTCTCTTAATCGGCTCTGTGTTTTCGTCCTCTCCAGCATATGACGGAAATCAAGTGGAAGATTTGCAAGTGTGGAAGATTTTGTTTGGTAATCTGGTGCTTAATTTGTTGACGACTCATTGGAGGGCATGAAGGGGGGAGGGGGGAGAGGCCGATTAATCCAAGTTCGAAAATGCCTTTGGAAGGACTTCGAAACTAGCGAACAAGTGGGCCTTATCAGTGCTAGATTAGCAAATAACTATACAACTGACGGAAACCCTAACAGTGGAATTGGATTGTAACAAATTTACAAGCTCGGGGTATGTGATTGTAAAAATTGAAAAGGCATGGACTAACATGCCTTAACGTTGTAAGTTCAGGGTACTAAACTGTAATTAACCCTTTATTTTATCTTAGATTGATTGTGGATGGTGGGCTCGGTTGATCTGATCTTTGCTCAATTTTTGGGTGTTGATTTTGTTCTTTCAAGGGATTTGTGAACATGTGGTGCTTAGTTTTTGGGAATTTTGGGTTCATCTGAACTTTTCTGAGTTTGATTTGATTTTAAACATAAAAAAGAAGTAGATTTTGCTTTGAAAGGATCCGGAATTTTCATTAGACTTCAATCCAATACTTCTACCATTAATTATAAACACTCGTATTGTTATTGATTTAATTTATTGTCATTATGGAATTAGTGTTATTTTAATTTTAAGTCATCATGTGTGGCACTGGAAATTGATGCTCTACTTAGTTCAAATTTGTTCCTTGTCAATACTTTGTTTTTGTTGTTGTTGTTGTTGTGCTTATTGTATTTTGGTTTTGTTTATTTTTGTGTTTTTCTACACATGATGACAATGACCAATTTGACTAAATTTGTTTTCTCAATGGTTAAATTGAACTTTCGTGTAAAACCCAGTGACCAAGGAGATATTTAACCCTAAAGAAAATTGTTGGAAGTACATTATGTATTTGGGTGGCAGAGTGAGAGCATTATCTCACTACCAAAAAAAGTGGCAGTAGTTACCATTTTGTCACAAATTTTGGTGATTGTTGTGAGGGTTACTAAAGGCTTTAGTCACTAAAAAAAGCAAAAAAGGTGACTGAAAGCCTTTTTAGTCACCAAAAAAGTCAAAAAAAGTTACTAAAACCTTTAGTAACCCCCACAACAGTCACCAAAATTAATGACAAAATGGTGACTATTGCCACTTTTTTTTGTAGTGTCTTCACTGTATTATTGCTCTTGAGGCTTAGATTGAATTGCTTAAGTTAGGCTTTATTATTTGATAAGGAGATGTGATGGAATAACTAAAATGAAATTTTGAGATATTCTCTCATAGTTATTTAAGTACTCATATTTGGTTGGTTGACTATATAGGATAGAGTCTATTTGCTATGACAATCACTACCAAAAAAAGTGACAACAGTTACCATTTTTGTCACTAATTTTGGTGACTGTTATGGGAGTTACTAAAGGTTTCAGCCCAACAAGCCCCCTCTTGAAAAATTATATGGCAAACCACCTTTCTATAAACATATGAGAGTCTTTGGGGCTTTTCCACCAACACCCATCCCACATCCAAATTTGATACTCATGCCAAGAAAAGCATTTTTTTTTTTTTGGTACCCTAGTGGGCAAAAAGCTTACAAGTTGTATGATCTCACTACCCCACAAAATCTTCATCAACGGGAATGTTAATTTTTTTGAGCATCATTTCCCTTTCCCCACCATCAGCCCAACCATAAAATCAATCCAATTACTTGTCCTACCCAGACCACACATAACAAACCTTGATCCATGCCATCCAAACTTGGGCCTGAGTGAGTTTCCTCCAACTAATTCATCTTTTTCCCATGAGCCCAATTCCACACTTCCAAGCCAAGATGAGATCATCTCTCCAGCCACGTCTAACTCTCCAGCTAACCATTCTTCTTTTTCTCCTATGGACCAATCTATTTCTCTAGCCGATTCTACTAGATCATCATCTGTTGCACTTACAAACCCAGAGCACCTCTTCCACCTTCTACTACCCATCTTTCTGTCAATCCACCTGTCAGAGTCTCTCAGCTTCCCAAACAAGCCCTTGTTTGGCAAAAAGATTATGTTCTTAATCACATACTAGTACCCAGACCCGCCTTATCGTCTTCCTCACTGCCGATCCCTCACAACGGTACTCATTATCTTCTCTGTAATTTTATTTCATATCATCGTTACTCACCTTCACATGTCTCTTTTATAGCAACCGTCAGTAGTAGTGTGGAACCTTGGTTTACAGAGCTGCTGCAAATCTCAATTGGCAACAAGCTATGTGCTCTAAACTTGAGGCTTTAACACCCAACAACACATGAACACTCACTACTTTGTCCCCCGGCAAACAACCCATTGGATTAGTATATACAAAATAAACTATTTGAATTAGTAAAATACAATACATAGTAGGCCTTACAAGGGTGTCCATCAAATAAGCTTATTTGAACATGGACGATAATTGAAATTAATTAGGATTTGAATTGTTAGAAACATAATCTCTAAAACTGAGGATATAATTATTCAACGTTAAATTTTAAAAAAAAAATTAGCATTATGGATATGCTAGAAATTAGGAACTTTTATTATGAAAAAAAAAATGTAACATTATTTCACAAAACATGAATGTGCATGTGGCATAGATTGTATTTTTAGTGTGTAATATTAGGACAAATATTATCTTACATAACAACTTATTTTTAATTTAAGTTTCCGTTGGAAGGACATATAGTTGAGATAATTTCCCTTATTATTTTCAACCCTCTTTAGCAATTCTCAACTCCAGAGAATATATATAAGTGATGCAACTACACAATTTGCACCTTGTTTTTTAGTTAAAACTTTGTAGCAGCCACCAATTACATCTTAAACAAACCTTGACACCAAAAAAAGCTGAACAAATGAATAATATCCATTGAATACCAACTTATTCATCATCAAATCTATGAATCTGACTTTAATTCAATCTCCTGTCTTTTGACATCATGAGCTTCTTCTCCTCAGCTGATCTCATACCCTCCATCTTCAACATCTCCAGCAAGAAATCACTCCACGTGTCAATGGGTCCCGGCAAGCACCAATGCACACAGTCATTATACAAAGTCACATTTTCATGTGGCCAGTGGCCATATCTACTAGGATGACCATCTGGCCTTAACAATGAGGCCTGTGTTGTGTCCAATAACCTATATTTCAACCCCTTTTTTCTCCCTTCTTTTACAGCGTTCCTAAACTCCTCAATTTGGATCATGTAAAGCTCCAAATTGGCACCCTCCAATTGCGTCTCGTTGCTCCGAAACGGCATCGTTCTCAAACAGTTCCCTCCTTGATTCCACAACCCGTTTTCAAAATGTGACGGTGCAAAAGTCCTAACATAGGTTATGCCCTTATAATTTTGTAAGCTGTTTATGGCCTTAAAAGCTGACCTAAAAGCCTTTCTATATCCATAGAAAATGCCTACATCAGGCACATTGTCTAGAAGGCAATAGTGGCACCCTGAAATCTTTTGATTTTCATAGTAAACCATCGAACGGAAGAACCAATGGCCCGCAGAAAGTATAATGTAGTCGAATTCCTCTACTTGGGTTGTCCATGCCTCATCAAATTCATCGAGGTAGAGCTCAAAAAGGCCGGTCTTCGTCGGTCCGTTCGTGTAGGTTGCTGCTTTGGATTTGATCAAATGTGGCGTCCAAAATGTTGCCATGGTGAAGTTGTAGGACATGTATTTCCAACGTATGAATTTCTGAGTTGGATCTGGTGTGATTGAAACATCTATTGGATACTCCACCTGAAATTGAACACCAAAATCAAAATTTATTTGATTTGTACGGATTTGTGATTTGTGATTTAATTAAGTTAATCTTGATTTGCAGACCAAGAACTTTACTTATTAGAGAAGTGAAGGGTTAATCATTTTATGTCACATATTGGCAGGTCCAGCCAGACCCATGTGGAAGATATTATACATGTAATGAACAAAGCACAAGGTTTAAGATAACTAATCTATAAAATAATTGTTAGTTAAATAGTTAATAGACAGGAACACATGGAGAAGAAGGGGTTGGAGGGCTTCAGCAACTAGATCTGTTTGGACGACAGTTGTCTCGACAAGGATGTCTGTTATTCGAATATATGTCAAGGGGCCCCATGGACAAATTAGTTATTGCCAATCTTGGATTATCTCAAGTCTTTTTGTTTTTTGTTTTTGTTTTCAATCTCGATGTTTTTTAATATAGAAGAGATGAGATTTGAATTTGAGATAATTTAGATTTTGGTGTTAGCTTAATTTCTTAGATCCCAATTTCAGTCATTTATTTATATATTAATATAAATAATAGTCTAAATTATATAAGGGTTATGAGATTTCGCACGCATACAAACTATCAAGGTATCATGATAATTCAAATTTAAGACCATTAATCTACAACTAAAAATCTTTTTTCATGAAATTTTAATTACACTATAAATAAAGTGAAACAATATTGCAAGACACACTCATTGGCACAGAGAGGGGTGGCAAAGATTCCTATCATGCTAGCTAGCTGGACAAGATATTGTAATTAATAATAAAAAAAGGGCGTACTGTTTTTACCTAATGCCCTTTATCCTTCAATTATAAAGGCTTAGGTCAACTAATCTTTTGAAGATCTGAATCTCATGCATATTAGGACAAAATTAGTTTGCTAAACGAGAAATGACACATGTTTTCGAGATCCAATCCACAATTTTAAAATTTTCGCTTTTAGTTTCCAGATTTTCAAGTCAATAATTAATTACCATGCCTGTTCATGGCAGGGGCCACAAAAAGCTTTTATCAAAATTACACATCATTAGATCATACAACAAAATAAATTATGAAATTATATTTCTGTAATGATATCGTGTTTGTAATCAAAACAACCTGGTTATAAATTAGCATTGTCATAAAAATTTGTTATGTTTCATCAATAATTACTATCGCTTTTTTTTTTTAAAGGAAAAAAAAAGAAGAAAATTATAAGTAGAGGGTCCAAATAAAAACAAGTCATCATAACATGCAAGATTTTTGTTGGTTAATATTATCGTGACATTAAATAATAAGTAGGAAAAAATAGATGGTGGAGGATGATACGTACCCTAGAAAGGAGGCATATCAAAGACTGCATTTGATTTCTGCCCACAGAGTCTCCAACAAAGGCCAAGGACTTGCCTCTAAGCAATTCTAGGAACTGGGCCGGGTTAAAAATAGGAAGCTCACACCCATCTGGCTTCCACCTCCATTTCATGAACTCTGTGTCTGGTCTTCCATACTTCATGCAGTTTTGGTGTTCGTGGATTGCCCAACATGTTTTGTTTGTGTAATAGGGAGCCTCTGGATTTGGAACCCATTCTCCGGTAAATATGTCACACTTTAAATTGCTAGTTACGGATGGCAAATCATCCTCCTCATGAACATGATCATTTAAATGATCTTGTGATGATGATGATGAAGAGGGCACAAGTGGGTTCGAATTAACAGTTTCCGACACAAATAAGGACTGGCTTATTGAGGGGTAATAGAGAGGGATGATTGTGAGAAGAAGTAGGGCAAAGACTAGAAGCACCACTTTTTTTGGTGACTTTTGTGGTGCTTGGCATATTTTCCCAAAGGGAAGCTCAATGTCGTGGTGCTTCATTCAGAGAGAGAAAGAGAGAAAGAGAGAGGAGAGAGAGATGGGGGGAGAGAGAGAGAGAGTTTTGATTTCTAAAGGCAATGGGAAATAATAAGAGAGTTAGATAGCTAACTAGGCTGAAACATATGGGTGTGGAAAGTTTCAAAGATCACAAGGAGGGAGGGTTGTTAGCGATTATTATAAATAATTTTATTATATTATATGGTTTTGTGGTTTGTGTTGCAATGTGCATGATGCTACCTCTCTAACCGATCTCTTCTATTATCTACATCATATAGATATATATTTTTAAAAATATAAGTTTATTAATTAAATCTAAGGCTGCACCTTCACATCTTTGAGAATCTAGTGGGGGATTTAGTTGTAATTTAGTGGGATATACAAAAGTTATTAAATTTGGGAGCATTTTTCCTCACCACTTTAACCCAAGGTGTATGCACTCTACTATTTTCAACACTTGACACATGTCCATAAGTATAACCATGATTACATAAATCAAAGTAAAAAAATTAACCATGATTATGTATATAGACACGTGTCAAGTATTAAGAATGGTAGTGAGCATGCACCTTAGGTTAAAAGGTTGAGCAAAAATATTTCCATTAAATTTTCTGGGATGGCCATGAAAAGATATTGTTAGTTCTAGCTCAAAATTCCAAAATCTGTTGTTCGACAAGTTAATTATTAGTTTCATGAACAATATATAAATCGGGATTTGACATTTTTGAAAATTTCCAAATTCCCAGTGAGACTGATGAGTGGTTTATTGAAAAGTTTGCTAATTATGCATGGGAAATTACTTCGCATCAACCATTTCATTATGTTATCTTTCTAATATTTTCTTAATTTCATTTTAGGATCCCTAAGTTCAGAATTTACGTAAATGATCAACTTTCAATCTTATATTATATATATATATATATATTATTTAAATAATGAACAATTATATGTGTTCATTCATTGAATTCGAGCAAAATAATTGAATTCAAGCAAAATAATTATAGGTTATATATGTTGATTGAGTGCTTAACAAAAATACAAGAAAAGACACCTATAATTTGTCACCACCTACACATTACATCAGTTGGTATTACATTACCATCATATAATCAATCCGACCTTGCCCTCTATTTATTTTTATAAATGCAGCTATAAATTAATTTATGATATATATGTATGGCATTGGTGTGCTTAAGCTGAAAAATTAGGTTGGCTTCTAATCATAACCACCGTGATATCATCTTCTGCAGACTTGATTGTATGCTGGCTCCACCAGTTCAACTCAGATTATTGATCCTTTTAATTATATATTTATATAATTTATTAAGTCTTTATTTCTGTTTTCTCATCATCATCATAATTCAGACACATCCTTCTTCTAATCTAATCTGTTCCCCTTTTTTTCTTAATTTATTTTAAGTGGTTGTTACATATCTGCCATCATGAATGCTGACTGAGTATGATTGGCTAACTATATGATTGTTATATGTGCTTCAAGACATTGAAACTTACTGGTGTCACATATTTTTTTCTTCTTGATTTGGCCTAAATTCAACGGTTATTTAGAAACAAGTTAAGCCCACTAGAACTATTGCGCAGAAACCCAACTAATTAGTTTCAAGAGGCCAAAGATGGATTTCTATATATTGCTTGCTATACTAGCTGTAGGCTTGTAGCCACAACTTATTGATCAACTATAGCGATGAGACTACAAAAAGGTGGGTGAGTGATTGATTGAGCTAAAAAGGCTTTTCCCCCCAGAAATTCTTGTTTGTCACGGTCACAGTCATGGTTGTGGAGAAATTATAGAATGATACTGTACTACCATGTCATCTGGTAGTACTTCCATTCAAAATATGTCATATGTCATTTTTTTAAAATTATAATTTTGTTTACAGCTGGATTTAATACTTTCTTTTTAACTTTAGAATAAGATTTTTTTATTTTAAAAAAGAAAGAACCCAAAGAAGCTGCCAGGACTCGACAGGTTTCTGTAGTATGCTGGTTATTTCTTTTTGGGTTTGTTGATAATCATTTTTACAAAAACCACAAATGAAATAATCAGTTTTTGTTATTTCCAGTGATTTCTTTACGTGATTCTTGTTGTAGATTAACTAGGTGGCCAACCAAAACCCTTGGGCGATTGGGTTGGGTGGTTGGTGGTGCAAGGTAGGAAGATTTGGGTTGTCGTGGGAGTTGGTTTCTGGAGTCTTTGGTTTTTTGTTTTGTAAATATTATTCTAGAGGGCAAAAGTCCAGCTGTAAATGTTCACCCGTTTTGTGTTTTTTCCTGAGATGGAAGGGTAAAGTTCACAACTGCCTTGACAACCATTGACTGGTTAATAAGTCAGCTTTCTTTGGTGTGTGAGCGTGTCACTGCTAGTAATGAAAATCCTAGCAGACTTATTAAAAATAGATAACCTGAGCCCCAAGTTACTGATTTCTAAATAAGTGATTGCGAATTTGGGTGAGGAATATCTTCCAAGTAAGTTCTTTTCTTGCCTCAGACTAGTGAGGATTTCACAATTTATCTTAGTATAAAATCGATGGTTCTGGCCAGAATAACCGATAGGAAATTGTATTGTTTTAGGCAGAACTGCATTTTATAAAACTATAAATATACATATCAATACTAGAAAGACAAAAAGACAGCTGAAACTCCATTTCTGCTTAGATAGAAGACTCTGATCCGGGCTGAACTGGATATGTCTGGGCTGGACTGGACTGTTAACAACTTCAATTGCTCAGCTTTAGCTGCAAATCGATACCAAAGTTCAATTTTGGCAGAGCTTTAATCTACTTTAAGCTTTGGGAAGATTTTGAACGAGCAGAACTGCAGGTTCTTCAATTTGAAGGGACAGAAGTGGCCGTTCTTGAGGATTTGATGAGCTGGGACTGCATTGTAAAATTTGTTGAGGTTTTCATATTTGAGAAAACTCAGACTCTGCTTGTCTTGACTTTTGCTGAACCAAATTTGTAACGAGAGAGATCTCGTTTTGAATGACTTATTTCTCTAAGTATGATCTAAAGCTGGTTTTTCTTGTTTTTGTTCAAGTGAACTTTTGGTTGATTTTTGTTGTTTGTTTGTTTTTTTATGAATTGAGTGTGTTTTATTATGTTCACCCTCTCTTGTATTTATAAGGAATGCTTTGGAGTGGGGTTTCTTTTTTTTAATAATGGGTGGCAAAATTCTCAAAAGATCTTTTCATTTTTTAAATGCAAAAGAAAAAAAGGGTTTTAATCAATTCTGGCAGATAAGCTCTCAACAGTCAGTTCTCAAGATCACTTCCCTGTTTTTCCTGAAAGAGAACCTAACCCCTTTTTAATTCCAACTGCCTCCTGTGAGAGCTTAAACCGTGATGGTTAGTTTGATTCTCATTTTGAACAGCTCCCTGTCCTCCTGCTTATCTCTTTCTGAGTTTTTAGTTTGCTTATCTCTCAGGAGAATCACCTTCTTTTGAGTAGAAGAAATATCTCTGATATACATGTAAGAGGGATTTGATTTTCAGAGTTTCATAGATGTCTCTTCCTAGTTTGCCAGCCACTGAACCTCTTTCTTTAGCTCCTAATCAACTCTGTGATAGTTGATTTTGTTGACTTTTCAAAGTCTGAAAAAAAAAATATTTCACGTGGGTTTCTTTTGAGAATAGTTCCTTTTAACAGATATGTTGATTTGCTCTTGGGCTTTTTAGAGATGGCAGTAGATTGGGCTCTTGTTTTTGATTTGTCTAGAACGTAATTGCCATTTGCTTTGGTATTTTTACATTCCTGCCACTTTTGAAAAGACGTGAGCTGGGCTTTCTCTTGTTCTATTAATTTGAAGCCCAAGTCTTTTATTTCTCTTGTTTCATGGGCCTTTTGAGAAGTGGGCCGGTGCATGTTTTGCTTTTGGCCTAAATAGTAAAATAAAACACTATAAATTTTTAAAAAATGACACATGGCATATTTTGAATGGAAGTACTACTACCTAACGTGGTAGTACAGTCTCATTCTATAATTTCTCGTGGTTGTGAAGCAAATAAATCTGACGTCCAATTAGAAGATGCCACAGGAAAAAGAAGCTAATTCTAAAAATAGATTATTTAAATCAATAAATCAAGTTTAATAATATATTTAATAGGGAAGCTACCTATTTAAGTTGAGGGAATTCCCTCAATCAAATTATTCCTAACTTCGAAAAATTCCTTAAATTTCTCTCTCTCTCTCTCTCTCTCTCTCTCTCTCTCCAGCCGAAATCCTCCTCATCTCTCTCTTTTGTTGGTGATGTTGTTGCCCTGCTTGGACCGATTTTGTCTCCAGCCTAAATCCTCCCCATCTCTCTCTTTTGTTGGTGTTGTCGTTGCCCTGCTTGGACCGATTTTGGAGCAGGTGTCGCTACACCCACCTTTGTCGCCGCAACCTTTAAATGTTGCACTTATTCACGCCTCCAGAGAAACCCCAGGTCATCATTAACTTGGCTCCACACAATTCTCTCATGCCTGCCCAAACAGCCAAGCAGATCTTAATCGTAAGGTTGATGAGCCAACTAGGCGAGTCCAGGACCAAAGCAACTTGGTTGATCGACTACTTAGGCAGATCAACTTGGTTCGAGACTTTGAACCAAGGTTCGATGGTGAAGAGAGAGGATAAGTGAGTGCATCGGCAGATAGCTTGAAAGATCCCAAGGAGATCGAGTAAGGACCCGCAGGCAATAAGGAAGGCAGGAACGAGATGATCAACGTGTTGGAATGTCACGAGCATCCTTGAGCTGCGACCAAAGTAGGATGAGCCTCTGTTCAAGATTAGGCCCACAAACTAACGTGCACTCAAGACTGGGGGTACAATCTAATGTCCACACCCACTTGGGCCTATAGAGAAGCATCTGTTCGAGATTAAGCCTATAGGCAGACCAACCTCATAGTCCTTTACATAAAGAGCGTGAAGGAAGGCACTTACTTGCTCGAATCAGAAGAGTAGATTCCATGCCACATGTTGCGGAGAATCCGTCTCAAGCCTAATCTACCAATGCACAGCGCCGGTAGGCCAGCAGGAGAGAACAACCCCCTTCAGTTGATGAGGAGGTTGATTAGTGACGACAACACTACATACGTAGTCAGCAAGAGCCACAAGCATTGCAAGTGGAAGATGTCGACAAGCTCGTGAATGATCAACTCCAAGGCCTAAGGGTCGAAGAATATTTGGAGGATGCCCTGCGCAAATAAGTAGACTAAGTGAACTCCTCACCATTCCCCGACAAAATTGACCAAGCAACCCCACCAAGGAGGTTTTCAATGCCTACATTTACACCATTCAAAAGGTACTCCGACCCCAAAAGCCACCTCAAGCATTTCAGGAGTGTCATGATACTCTACAAAGGCAATGATGCGCTGATGTGCAAGTTGTTTGCCATGACCTTACGGGGAGCAACCCAAGATTGGTTTCAGAGAGTTAGCCCTAACCTTTAAAAAGGTGTATACTTCCTACCAGGTGATCAAGAAGCAAGTTGACCACCTTTTCAACTTGAAGAAAAAGCATGATGAGTCTCTCCGAGATTACTCTCACCATGAATCACTGCTTCTCTCCCTCTATCTCTCTATCTCACCACTCCTTCTCTCACTGACTCTCTCAACTATACCTCTCCCGACCCTCTCTCTCTCTCTCTCTCTCTCTCTCTCTCTCAACTCTCACGGTCACTCTCTCCCTCTCACAATGATAACATTGAGGTTATGGTTTTTAAATTTTAATTGTTATTGTTAGGTTTTTAAGATTTAGGATTTGGTTGTTAAATGTTTGGGATTTTTTTTCTTATGCTATTTGAAAGAAAAGTTGCTTCTCTGCTTGAGATTCCACTCAAAACATCAAGGTGAGGTTCTCTGCTTCTCAAGGTCAAGAAGAGGAGAGAGAAGGAGAAAAGGTTTGTTTTATTTATAAAAAAAGATGTTAATTTTTTGGTTTTAAATATTTTAAAAGATGTTACGTTTTTTCTATTTTTTTTTTTTTTAACTTGGAGCCCCAAAGACGAGAAAAATATTAGCCTACCCTAAATTCCTAAGTCCACCATTGATTATAACAACGTTAATAATGGGTTAGGGTTGATATACCATGATATTTTGAACTTTTGTTGTCCTTGGAATGAACAAAAGTGTCCATATAGAATATGAAATCCAAGAAGCATAAAGTACACGAAAAAAGCTCTGTTTGTGTGACATTAATGTTTGAGATTTTATGAGGATTCACTCAACCTGCAATATGTGGGTTAGGGTTGATGATTGAGATGCATAAGAAACACAAGATAATTGAAGTTATTGACTATCTTATGACCTGTATATGATGACATCTGCCATTTGATATTAAATTTTCCGTGTAGGCAAGAAAAACTCTAAGAGTTTAACTCTAGTGCTTTTCAAAGGGAGATTTTCCAATTCTAGGAAAGTGGCTTATTTGGATGGGGATAGATAGATATGCATGGCTATTATCCATGTGTGTGCGTGGCTGCATTTCTATCTCAAAATTTGAGGCTCACTTGGCACTGCATGTCCACTTCTAGCCTATATGTGTATGTATCGTTCTCTCACTAAACAAATAATTAAAGAAAATTCTTCCACCTCACACTTTTTGTCACCATCCCTTTGGCTAAGTGAGCAATCAGCTTGTTTCTCGTTCTTTAAGGACGGACGCAAACCACTCCATTTTGTGGTGTTTGGCCAACAAAAGATGTTTCAGATGAATTCTATTTTCCATTATTTATTTATTTATGGTAATTTCATCATTTCCATTAAAATGACTGAGAAAAAGGGAAGGATTTGAGTAATTAATAGATTTCAAAGTGATTAGATGTATAAAATTGTGGCTGCTTTTGTGGCCAATTATTGTTAATTGATGGAGCATATTATTATTTAGTAATAACTGACTAACAAATCCAATTTATATATATATATATATATATATATTTCTTGGAAGATACACATTTTCTCTTTTATGTTTTCTGTCATCTTCAAAA